CACAGCCTTCCCCGCAGCGTGTGCTCACTGATCTCCCCGGTACAATAATCACCGTCCTCCATGTTCCCTTCAACAAGGCTCCCGGATTTGTCCCCGCGCCCTCTTTCTCTCCCAGGAAACCACGTTTGTGGTGTTTTAGGGAGACACGGGGTTTTTCCACAGAGCAAAATCCACCTCAGCGTCTCCCTGCTCCATAATCCGTCCCAACTGTCCTTATCCATCAGCAGCTCCAAAGTAAGCCAAGGCACAGGGTGTTCCCCCACATTGGCACGTCCCTGCTGCTCACTTGCAGTTCCCAGCAGGGATTATTTCTGTGGAAATAATGGAAATAATGTGGAAAGCAGGCTGTGTCACATCCCTTGGGATCAGGGGAGCACGTGGACACCACACAAACACTGGGATGGTCCCAGCACCTGAGGCTGGAGCAGAGGTCAGGAATCACCTGAGGTCGGGCTGAGGACTCCATCCAGTGTTTACACGGCGTGAAGGGCAAGTGGAAAAGTCAGGGAGTCACCAGGAGGAGGGAACACAAGATAAGAGCTCTCAGCGTGACCCCTGACCAGGTACACCCTGTCCAGAGTACACCCTGCTCCCATATTACACCAGAGATGCTCCTCGGTGTAACTCACACTCAACACACCACACACAGGTGCAGTGCTGTTAGCCTTTGGAGTTTTTTTTTGTTTGTAAATCATGAGCAGAATTCCAGCAGGACCTAAGAATAGCAGCACCTGCACCTCGAAATTCCACAGTGACATTTAGATGTGCAACCACACTTGGCAGAGCAGAGTGATAGCAAGTGAAGGGAGCCCGGAACAGCAGTGAGTCAGTGCAGGGAGGAGGGCAAATGACTCATTACATTAGGAATTAAAGGCTGTTAACCAACTGGACCAAAGTAGCTCATTTACTGTGTATCAGAAAAATTAAGGCTTGGCAGGCTGGACACTGTTAAGTATTTTGTGTGGAGTTTCTTCAAATTACTGATTCCAGTTATTTCTGGACGTGAATTTAGTACGTTAGGGATCAAGCACTGCTTCTCCTTTAAGAGTTTAAAACAGAATTGGGAGGAGAATAGAGATTATCAAAGACATTCCTCCTGCTCACAGCAGCAACATTTATTTATACAACACTTGCATCTACACTCCCTGGCTGAAGTTTGAAAATCACACATTTGCAAGGCCATCCCTTCCCTCTCCCACCACATTCTCCCCCTCCAGCGTGTCAGTACAAACGGATCCAGGTTAAAAATAACCCCAGATTCCTGATACTGTACAAAAGTATGCAACTGCTCCACTCCTCTGAAAATCCCTAATCAGGATTTTTAATGTCACCAACTCCAGTGGGAGCCAGTGACAGCATTTTCTCATGAATCAGGGACAGCCAGGACACACCTATGAGACCACTGCGTTCTGTTTTAAATCCTGTCTGGTTATGTTGCAATTTTTACTCCCAGATTTCAGAAAGGAGCACTGCTGATGTGGGGAGACCTCTGCAAAACACCCTCGGGGAGAGGAGGCTGAGAGAAATCAAGCACAATGACGTTTAGTTACCCTTAAAATCCCACCTCCAGCTCCCACACTGGAGATTCCTGTTGGCTGCCTCAAACTGTTCAGCTGCAGAGAAGATCTGAACTGTCTGAGCATGGGTCAGGTGGCTGTTCCAGGTTTCCTTGTCACCTCACAGCCCATGAGATCAGTGAAACACCGGCTGGTTCAGCAGTAAGGTCACAGGAGTGGGAGGATAATGTCACCAGGGGTTTATATCTGTGCTGGCACTATTTCCCACCTCAGTCCTCAGCCAGAATATCTCAGGTGGAAGAGCTCCATGGAAGACAAAACACCATTCACTCTGTACACCCAAGGTCTCACACATTTCATACCGTGGCCTGTAATTTAGACTGAAAAATACCCAGGAAAAAAAACCAGCTTCTCCATGTTTCCATGCAAATATGCAAATAGTCCTCATTGGCTTAAAAATGGTATTTTTAACTCTGTATTTTTTCCCTTGGATTCAGCTTGACAACATGTAATACATCACACCACAGAAGATGGAGCACTGTGCAAGTTGAGTTGAGCTGCAGCACTTTACTGCAGCACCTTTATTTATAAAACAACCAACCAAAAAAAAAATTATGAAATCATTGATTCAAAGGAATCAATAATAAATATTTGCTTTCCTCTGAGCTGTTCGGACACAGTACAAGTACACCAATTATAGCAGGTAGAAGAGATGGAAGCTTAGTTCAGCTGCTGAGAAACAAAAAGAAAGCTACATAACATGGTCTGCATTTAATCACACAAGTAATAACTGGTATATGACAGTAAATGCTTTAATACACTATTTTACAAAGAGTTTGGCTTATGGTTCATTTGCTTCCCTTGTGCAACTCCTGAAAGTAGAATACCTTTGGAATGATCTCTTTCTCCTGTTCCCTTTGAGTAATGAATTTTCCCTCTGGGTTTCCTGCTGGCAGCAGAAGTGCAGCACTGACTTTGTGTTCCCCTGGGAGATCTCTGATGTGGGGGCTGGAAAGCACCTCAGTGTCTCAGAGTTAGTGATTTTAAATCATTGTGGTGCCCACGTTCCCTAAGCAGGGCCACACACCTTTGTTGCATGGCAGGAGAGGTGCTTTTTCTGGCAGGGTTTCTATGCAGATACCTGGAAAGCAGGTACCTGAACTGCTTCCCAACAGGGCTTGGAACAGCCAGGAATGATCACACACTCCAGGCTTCAGCCATTCCTCCAACTGACCTTCACCAAAAGGCTCATAAACCTCTCAGCCCCTGCAGTCACACCGATGCCTCATAGGGCAAGGAGTGACTTCTCTGCTCCAGAAGGGTTGGGACACCAGGAGAGGGTTGCCACAGCTGATCTGTCCTGCAGCTAATTCCCAAAGGCCTCCAGAAACTCCGCCAGGAGCAGGCTGGTGCATTCTCCGAGCCTCCAGGCTGCAGACAGAGGATCCTCCTCCCTAATAATTACAAGTGACTCAAAGCCAGCCTTTGGTTCTCAGGCTGGGACCAGCTGAGCTGTTGGAATTGTCACCCTCAGTTTGTGGTGAGGAGCTCCTGCTTGCCCAGGCAGGACAGAAGCACTCGGGGGTTTGTGTGCACGGAGTGAGGATCCTCAGCTGCAGCACAGGTGACATGAAGCACAATAGGCAGCCACAGGAGAAGCCCCAAACTGCTTCAGCCATCCTATTCCTGCTCTTGGGATTCCCCCAGGGCTCAGGAAAAGAGCAACTGCAGAGGAATCACAGGCACTTACAGCTGCTGCAACGAACAGCTGATCAGGAATGTGCTCCTGGAGCACCCAGGGAAGCTCTCTGGGTAAAATGACAGAGGATCCAACACCAGGATCCAACACCATGGAAGCAGCAGCTTATCAAACACCTCACACCAGATCTCCTTTGCTTCAACCTGTGACTCAGGATTGTCTTCCCTGCACAACATCAGCACTTTGTCCTGCCAAGGGTTGACTCTGGGGTAGAGAAAGCGAGTGAAATTTTGGTACATCTGATGAAAATGGGTGACTGCTCCTAGGAAAAGCAGTTCTCACATAGTAGAGGGCAAGTTTGAAATCTATTTCCCATATGAAAGCAGCCCAAGCAGGGCTTGGCTTTGATCAGGTTGTTTAAGATCTCAAGTGAGGAAGTTATAATTCCAACCCTCAGTCAAAAAAGGAGATAAATTACAGTCCTAGAGTGAAAGAATTATAGATCTGTGGTTTTTCTGTGCAGGTCCATCTTCTATAGACTCATCCCACAAATTGAAGAAAACCTTCCCTCCCCTCAAATGGAAAAAAAAAGTCCACCCTCTTTTTTTTTAACAGAAAATCATCAGTCCAGGAATACAGGAATCTAAAACCTACAAGCTCAGTGTCTTGTGTGTAGCAGTGGTCAGAGCCAAGTCCTTCAGAGGAAAATACAAATGACAGAACTCTGCATCTGTCTCCCATCCTTTCCTATTGGCCTTCAACTTGAAGTGTAAGACTTTATGTTCCTTGCAAATGTTTAGTCTGGTTAATCACAAAAAATATTCTTTACAATTCTTGCAGTTTTTAAAGAACCTTGCTAAAGGTCTAAGCCTCAGCTATAGCACGTGGCCCAGCATTTGGTGTAGGAATGGGACAATGCACACAAATATCTCCTAGTGGAAGCAGCATTGTGCTGGTTTACCTGTCCCAGGTGTGTTTTCCTCATGTCCTTCAGTCTTACCTGGAGGCCACCTCAAGAGTGCTGTTGGTTCAGTCTTGGGAAGAGCTCTCCATAAGGCTTCTGCAGCACAGCTCACCCCAAAACTGGGGAACTCGCCACCTGCCAAGGACAAATATCTTCCAAATGCTTCATCCAGGCTTTTTGGTAGATTGGTGACCCTTCCCTTCTGAGGAACTGCCTCCCTCCTGGATTCAGGGCCCAGTTCTCATGTCACTAAGGCTCATTTGCCACAGACCCCACTCCAGAGGGGTTTCTGTGGCTTTGCAGTGCTGGCCATGAAAGCAGAGCAGGCTCCAGGCCGTGTCTCTGGGTGCACCAGTAAGTTTATTCTGGCAATTAAAGCACCTCTGTTTTCTTGACATAAAAGGTCCTTTCTCTTTAATACAGAGTTCAGTTCAGACACTTGCCTTAATACTGCATCTCCCGACCTGTTGGAGTGATCCTTTCATTTCCACTTCAGTTCTAGCCTCCAAAAGCATTTCACTAGAAGACTGAATGGAGAAAACGTGAAGCACCTTCAGTCCCCTTTGAGGCTGGACACCAGCCTGCCCTCAAAATCTTCAGGTGAGACCATGCATCTTTGAGAAAGTTCTCCAAAACCAGTACAAGAGACTTCTCCCTCCCCACAAAACCTCTCTCTGGCACATTATGCATCTTTATGTCTCTGTTGATCCCTTTTAAAAAATCCTGAGGTTTGGTTTCTTTTCACCTGCACAGCGCTTTGCTGTTGCAGTTTTTAAATGCTCAGTGTTCCATTTCCAAAAAAAAAAAAAAAACCAATAACAGATAATTTAAAAAGAAGCTCCCTTTTCCCTCAAATGGCTTCCTTTTTCCTCAAATGGCTCCTTTTTCCCTCAAATGTATCTTTCTTCAATAAAAGAAAATCCCGTATCGGAACTTCAATAAAAGAAAATCCTGTATCATAACCTCAGTGCTGGAAGATGTACGAGAGTTAAGTGGGAGGGCTTCTTGTGGTGTGAATAATCACGAGTGATTAAAATGAAGCTGACCAGGAAGATAATTAGCTAATCTAACAACTCCTATGTGGCTGGTGGTGTGTGAAGTGTTTCTGGGCGGCAGGAGCCTCCCGAGGGTCACACGGTCTGGAAGGCCCGGCTCTGGGCAGGCACCATCACCAGCGTGGCTCCCATTTTCATCAGGTTGTTGTAGTCGACCTTCTTTGGCTCCGTCTCCTTCCCTTCCATCGCCCTCTGGCTGTACTGGGGAGGGGTGAGGTGAGGGGTGGCTTCCGTGGACAAAGTCCGCTGGCTGCGGGAGGCACTGTTGGCTGTGGACCTGGTGGAGGAGGAACCTGAGCGGGAGCTCCTGGAGCCAGAGGAGGAGGAGCTGGGCTTGACCAGATGGGCCTTGGGTGCCTCTGCATCTTCTCTGCAACCAAACAGATGGCAGGGGCTCAAACACCACTTCCTCATTTCACCACTGCCATAAGCAGTTGCTCCCTGAAGCTGCAAATCACCAGGGAGTATCTGTCCAGGAATAATTTCTGTTATCTGCTTTCTGAATTCTGTGCTCTGTAACTTGGTGGACTGAACCCCCTATTGCCCTGCAGAGCTGCTGGTCAAACAGGTTTGGAATAAACACACACACAGCTCTGTGTGTGGAACAAATAACAAATACCAAGTGTCACTGCAAACAGCTCAGATAGAACTGTCTGCTCTGTAATCCTGACTCATAATGAGAAATGGCCTGGGCAAGACTAGCTGAAACCAGTTCTTCCACTTAAAATAACCTGTGGGTAGAGAAAGAAGTGCAAGAACTGGGTCCTGAGAGAAAGAGAGAGAGGATGTAACAGTCAGGCGTGAAAAGGTGATACAAGAGGGTGAGGCTCCAACTGAAAATTCATGCAAGGTGAGAAAGCAAAGAAAGCAGGAAAAAGGGAAGGGAAGGAATCAGCAGAGGCTGCTTTCAGGCTGGCAACCTGAGTGTGAGGCAGAGGAATCAGCTGCTGAAGGGATTACAGAGATGTCATATGAGGGCAGTCATACAAATAGACACAAAGATGGATCAAGGCACGGGGGTTGTTTCTTCCAGGGCGGGAGCAGCTAAAACTCCTTCCTGGAAATAGATCTTTCCAGTGCTTTCCTTCCTGAGGGGTTTAGGCTGGGTTGGCTGGAGACCAATCTCTGCTTAGGGGAGTTAAGGGGCAGGCCTGGAACAGATGAGCTCCAAGACATGTGTCAGCATTGCCGGGGTGAGACTGCTCCCCTCACAGACAGCTCAAGGATTGCTCACCCAGGCTAAATCCAGAGCACAGTTGTTCAGAAGGCTCAAGGAGGACTGAGAGAACCTGCCAGTCTTGGAGCATTCCCAATAAAAACTGCGATTGAGAAGGAGAAAGGAGAAGGAGAAAGAAGGAGACAGAAAAGGAGGAAAAAGAAGGTGAAGGAGAAGGAGAGAGAAAAAGAAAGAAAGAAAGAGAAAGAAGGAGAAGGAGAAAGAAGGAGAAAGAAAGAAAGAGAAAGGAGGAGAAAAAGAAAGAAGGAGAAAGAGAAGGATAAAGGAGAAAGAGAAAGGAGAAAGGAGAAGGAGAAAGAAAGAAGGAGAACTAAAACCCCCCAAACCCTCTCAGAGCCACAATGGGCAAGTGGGTTGGATTTAACAGCGTAAAAGATTATGCAAATGCTTTAAAATGCTGAAATTGCAAATGTGAGAGAGAGTTTTATGCTGATTTGCCCCGGGGGTGTGGGGGGGAAGTTTAATCTGATTTTCTGGAAAGTCTTCACAGAGATTCTCACAAGTGAAGAAATTAGTCAGTGCTATTTCACAGAGACTTTAAAAGCTATTTAGAACAAACTTTGGCAACACTTATCCCTACTTACAGGGACTTAAATCCTTACTGAAAAGATGTGTGAAACTGCGAGGAGGGAGCGTGGGAGGTGGGGGATTAAGTGCAAGGCGTTACCTGATTTCATTTGGTGCCTCCTCTTCCTCATATCTCTTCTTTTCTTTCCTCCTTATCGTCAGCCTCACCACCAGGAGGAGGAGGGAGAGTCCCACCACCACCCCACACGCTGCCCCGGCGATCATGCCGATATTTTGGGCATCTGTTGTCCGGAAAACAGATGGATTAGTTGATAAATTCTCACTGGAGTTGCGCGGTCGGGTTCTAGTCGCCACTACAACTTACAGCACCGGGTATAAATCAGTGCCAGTTTGTTTATTTAGGTGTGTCTCCACACAGAAGTTGAACCAGTTTATCTCCAGGCACTGTCGCTGAAGCTGAGCTGAGGGTGAGAAGAGCTCTGGAAGGGTGGGATCACAAGTGCTGTGCCTTCAGCTGTGGGTCAGAGTGAAACGAGGAGGAAAAACCCTCCCCTCTGAGCACAGAGCCACCGAAAGCACAGACATGTGGAACACGGCACCGAGCAGGTTCCTGGAGGCACGAGAGTGTTTGAACTGCGAATGTTTCCCCGGGAGGATTTTTTTTTCCCCCCCTTCAACTTACCCTGCAGTGATTACAACCCCTTTTCCAGAAAGAATTATTTAATCGTGGGGGAAAAAGTGACCCGAGCTGGGGTAGAGAGAGGAAGAAAGAGGTAGAAAGAAAAGAGCATCCTGTGCGTGGCATTTTTTCCTCCAAAACAGAAAAGATGAGACATTTCCCAGCGATTACGGGCCCTTGGTTGATACTTTATGACAACTTCTGGTCGGTTGGGCTGGGCTTGGCTAAAAGTTGTTTCCTTAAGGCTCGTCCCTACGGAGGGTTTAGCAAACCCGAGTGAGGTTTTAAACCAATTCGGTTCAATTGGCATAAAAGCTGCCCGGACGCTTTTACTTCAGATGCCTGAGGCAAACCGGTTTTCCTTGCTGCGTGACCGTATTCCAGTTATTTCAGGCTCGGTCGGGCAGAAAAAGTTCCAAAAGCTGTGGAATCTCCAAGAAGAGACCTCGCCATTAGCAGTCTTTTATCACAGCAGTTCGAGCTCCTGCTGATCTCCTTTGAGAGCTGCTAAACTCTATTGTTGGGATTTTTAGGTGCTAAACTCCACCCTTTTCCTGGCATGAATATGCAAAGGACGCTCCACCCTTTATGGGTTTTATCAGCTAGAACACAGATTTTAACTTCTGGTGCTCCGGACAGAATTTATTAAATTTGGATTAAAACCAAAATGTCAACAGTTGCTCCACGTTACTGTGTGTCACAATCAGCCCTTCCAGCTGTCTTTAGATAGTTCAGTGTCCCGAGTGCAACAGATAAATAATTTGGAATTGAACTGATGGAACATCCACAGAAGGAGTTTATACCTGAGAACAATATGCAGCCACTCCAGCCAGAAGTACCTCAAAAGCTGCAGGCTCTGGAACCTTTAACTCACAGTTTTCCCTCCTTTTATGCCATTAGTCATTCTGAAAATCAACATTTCTAACAGACCGAAAAATCTGAGCCCAAATGATGTTTTAGTCACTTTAGGTTGTGATGTTTTTTGTCACTTTAGGTTGTGATGTTTTTATCACTCTAGGTTATACAGAGGGCTGCTGTGCAAACCCTAACTGCAATAAATAAGTATAAATAAGAACTGTTTTATGGGATTAAAGTACAAAAGGGCAAAGGTGTGGCCCCACGTGTGTGAACCCCAGTTTGCAGCAGTACTTACGCTGCACTGTCACCTGCACAGCACAGCTCTCCTGCCCAGCCTCGTTGGTGGCCACACACTGGTACAACCCCGTGCTCATCTGGGTGAGGTTCTTCAGCAGGACTTGCCCAGGATTAGAAATGTCTGAAACGGGAGAAAACACCACTGGGATTAATCAACGTTCCCAGAGCTCTGGGAACTGCCCCGACTCACTGACCCTGGAATTGAGGAACAAGGCTGGGGAAGGGACTGGAGCACAAGTCCTATGAGGAGAGGCTGAGGGAGCTGGGGGGGCTCAGCCTGGAGAAGAGGAGGCTCAGGGGAGACCTCCTCACTCTCTGCAACTCCCTGACAGGAGGGGGGAGCCAGGGGGGGGTTGGTCTCTTTTCCCAGGCAACCATCAGCAAGACAAGAGGGCTGGGTCTGCAGCTGTGCCAGGGGAGGGTTAGGTTGGAGATCAGGAAGAATTTCTTTGCAGAGAGGGTGCTCAGCCATTGGAATGGGCTGCCCAGGGAAGGGGGGGATTCTCCATCCCTGGAGGTTTTTAAGCAGAGACTGGATGTGGCATCAGTGCCATGGGCTGGGAACCACGGCGGGGTTGGATCAAGGGTTGGACTTGATGATCTTGGAGGTCCCTTCCAACCCAGCTGATTCTGTGATTCTATGATTCTATGAACTGCCCCTCTGGAATTGAGGAACTGCCCCTCTGGAATTCAGGAACTGCCTCTCTGGAATTGAGGAACTGTCCCTGTGGAATCGAGGCAATGCCCGGACTTACTGACTCTGGAGTTGGGTGGGAGGTGCTCAGCTCTGTCCTCCTCGTCGATGCGCTGCCAGCGGTAGGAGATGGGCACGGTGCCAGAGGCAGAGCGGCACTGCAGGGACAGCTCCTTCCCTTCCAGCATCTCCCCCTCCAGCCAGCACTTGGGCTTGGAAGGTTTCTCTAGGGGGAGCAGAAGACAGGTCATGCAAACACAGCAAACCCTTTCTTTGGCAAGGTACAGTCATTGAAGCAGCTTCCAAGAGCTGCCTTCCCTGGAACGTGTTCAGGAATCACACCAGTGATGGATTTTAGGGGATTGAGCTGCAATTGTGTGCAACTTCTCAGTGTGTTTATGATACTCTGTGGAGCTGTACCACCACATTCCTCTTCTGGGCACTATTTAGAGAACATCCTTTCCCTCCCCCTACTTCCCCATTTCTTCCTTTTCCCCACAGCACCTGTCAGGACACAGCACTTCTTCCACGGGATCACAGTGTACATGGAAAAGCCAACCTATGAGCTGAACTCAGGGAAAGGAAATACTAATTATGGCAGCCTATTTGTCACCTCCACTGACTTGGGACCAGGCTGGGGTCCTGGGACATGAACTCACAGCACATAGCAGGAGATATGGACAGGGTGATCAGCCCAGTTTGGGTGATGAGATCATCGGGATAATTTAAAGAACAGTTCATATGTTGTTGTGGATAATCACTTACCTCAAACCCACTCTTTAGGCTCTTCCTGTGGCCTGTCCTTTGCCAAAAAAACACAAAGGCAGACATGGAGTTGGACAGGGAAACCTGACTGTGAGATGTCTCTGTGCATTTATACCCTGCTGAAATAAATCTCTCTCCAGGAAGCGAGTCTGGAATTATTTTTTTTTTTTTTTTTAGCAATAAAGTGTCCTTACCTACCACCTTGAGGGTGATTCGAGACCATTCGTACCGCCCAGCATTTTTCACCTTGCAGATGTACTTCCCTGCGTCGCTGGACTGCAGGGAGATGATCTGTAAGGAGGCATCTCCAGCCAGGAAGTTGGATGTGAAGGAAACACGGCCTTTCTGCTCCTCATTCAGGTCGTCATAGACACGGCCCCCGGAGTAGGTGATCACCTGAGGGGCACAGACAGGCACTGACAGCCAGCTGGGATTGTACTTTCACACAGAACAACAAATAAAGCCTTTCCAGGAACTCCAGCCCAAGGTTCTGCCTGGTTAAGTGACTTGCCAAGGGTCACACAGGAAACCTGTGGCAGGGTGGAAAATTAAACCTGGATTTCTAGTCTGAGAATGGCACATAAAGTGTATTTATGCTAGAGATTGGAGCATTTATACAACTGTCAAAATAGACATCAGCTCATGTCACAATATATCCAAGCAGTCTGTAGGCTTGGCTGAGCTAATTTAAGTTACTGCAGACCTCATTTTTATAAGTACTGAACTCCTGTATGTTTTTCCTGAAACCAGGGATTCAAAAACCGGGCCTGCAAAACCCAAGGTCGTTTTGGAAAACCTGAAGGGCAGTTCTGAACTTGAAATATTATCAGTCACCCTGGGATAAAGGAAACGTGATTGTAACAGAACCTGCTCCAACACAGCACGTGTGGCTATCAAATAACCTTTATGCGTGATAAATCTCTCTAAATCAGCCGTGTTTTCTGAAGGTCAGCAGAGTAACTTGCAGGGATCATCACAGGAGTTTTGTTAAATCAGTGGCTGGTGGTGTGAAGGCAGAAAGAAGAGGATTTTCTCAGCCAACCTACCGCTTTCTGCACGGTTTCCGAGATGTGCAGCAGCCACTCGATGTCCAGGCTGCCCTGCTCCAGGAGGCCCAGGCTGTGGTGACAGGGCAGGGTCACGTTTTCCTCAGCCACCCTCTTAAACTCAGTCTGAGCCTTGCACATCCAAACAGAACAGGAAGCTGGAAAACAGATGCCAGTGGTCACAGTTCAGGGGGGCATCTCTGCCCTGGGGGGTCTCACCAGCCAGGTCTCGGCTGGATTCCTCCTCCTTTGCTTCCAGCATCAAAGAAAACCCACCAGCTTGGCTTCCTGGGCAGATTGCAGCTGATGAAAGGGGACATTGCTACAAACACAGGCATTTTCACACCCATATTGGAGCAGGGAGAGCAGATGGCTTCACACTGCAGAGCTGTCAATACTGAACTCACACCCACACCCTCTGTGCACTCCAGATAAACCCCTCAGTTTTGCCTTCACCTCTTATCACCTTAATTTAAAAGCAGTAATTCCACCCAGATATCCTTCAGAGCCCATCACTTTATCCCTGTGTCACTCTGACAAGGCTTGGAGTCTCTTCCGTGGTGATGCTCTTTTATTTCAGCACTGGAAATAAAAGACCGGCCTGGGAGGAAGAGGGTTAAACTTCAGAAAAGCGTGGTACAAGTAGGACAGGGAAGTGTCTTTGAACAGCAACGTCAGGAAAAAATATAAATTGCCAAAAAGCGTTTGTCAGGATTTTAAACAGAAAGAAAAACGGGAGGAAAGTGCCAAGTGGACCCACTAGAGGGAAGCAGAGCCCTTGAAATGTCAGCCAAAAAACCCAAAATGTGTGTTAACGCCCTAAAACCTGGCCCAGGAGATGATACACCGCAGAAAAATAGGATGTTCGGCCAGCACTGTCTGTTCGAGTTTTGACACTGCATCCACACTAAAACTGAATAAAAATCAGGGATCAATGGTTGGATTTGCCCATCTCCAACTTCTGAACGTGGACACGCCATGGTAAGTTCAAACTCAGTTAAAAACTGACCCAAAAGATCAGAGGTGTGGAAAATTACAGGCATTTGGGGGCAGGGATCCCCCAGGTCTGCCCTGGCACCAAATATTTTCCAACCAGGTTTCCACGGGGATTTCTAGGGCACAAATGCCATCTGCCTCCTGGGTATGAATCCTCAGAGGGCAGTTGGGTTGTTCTTCAGTTTTGTTGTTCAAGAGAAAATCCTAAAAACATGGGGTTTTTTCCCTGCGAAAAGAGAGATTAAATATTTTGCTTCTTGGGCCAAATATTGTGAAACTGGGAGAGTTCACAGCCCTGGGAAGTCACATTGTGACTGAACACACAGCCCACAGCAGGAGCATAAGCTGTTCCTGTTACACAGGCTGAATTTGTTCCTATACTTGTATTTAAAGAGTGGATCCTCAGCCTTCCCTTTACCTTGAAGTGAAAGACAGAGAGAAAAATTACATCCAAGACGACACTTGTTCAGCTCTGCTCCTTCAGGAGCAATTTGGAAAATTCCTTTTGGAAATTAGAAAACGTAGAATTTGGCTTTTAGAAAATTCCTTTTACTCTCAGACCTACCTCTGAGTTGTTACCATGAGCATCCCCCAGCTCCTAATTTATGCTTCCCAAACACTTTATAAAAAGGTTTCATCTACTACACTCATGCACCTTTATAGAACACCCAGAATTACAAGACAGGTGGAGCCTTGCAAAGGATTAATCCCTCCTCCCCTGCATTGATCCCGGCATGAATTAATGACAGTGAAAGCTCCTTTTCAGCCACATTAGCTGCTTTCTTTAAAGGGAAGAGTAATCCAGTTTATCACTGGATTCGCCGCTCTCAAAGCTCCATCTGCCAAATACAATTACACGTCGTGCCCAGGACGAGCCCTGCTCTCCCCTCAGCTCCCATTGCTGCGGGCTGCCCTCATTAGCGCCCTCATTAACGCCGGCCCTTGTTAGATGGTGATCAATAACCTTAATTTAACCACCACAATAGGGACCGTTCGCATCCCATTTGCGGCGCTGTCAAAGCCCGGTGCCAGCGGAGCGCTGCGGGTTTGGGCACACTGCGGTTTAAAACTTGACTTTACATTAAAAGTCTCGGTTAGCATTAAAAATCGCCGCTCGAGAGGGTGTAAGAAGTATCATTTCCATTCCTTTCTAGCTTGGACACACCGGTTTTAGGGGAGCTCACAGTCTGGTACTGCTCCCAGCAAACATCCCTGAGGAAGGGCCTTCTACCTCAGAACTCATCTTCTAAATGGGAGTAAGAGAAGAGAAATAATGACTACAAATTTCTAAAGCCTCCCTTTTTCTATTTTTCAAAGGTGCCTGCAATCAGAAATAATTTGGAGCCGATTCACCATTAAACCAATAACCAGATCCTCACACACTGTACACTGTGCATACTTTTCTATAACATCATTTTTAAAAGTCTTATTAAAACCCCCTTGTCTTGTCTCTTTAATCCTTACTAGTGGTGTAACAATGCCCACAAGCTCCCAAAGAAGTTTAAGTTTTGCTGGTGTTTTAAACAAGACACTCACTTTATTTTCTTGCCAGGCAGCTGTAACTGTACAGAATTAAAAGGAAGCTCAGAACAGCTGCATAAAAGTACCCAGAGAGGTGCCAGTTACAGAAATTACTCGTGAAAAATCCAGAGAGAGCTCAACGTGAACAATCCTGATGTTTTCCACAGTTTGGGGAGGGTCTTGCGGTAACAAGCAGGGATGAAATGGAAATTTTAACTTTAGACACGTGCTGGAATTTCCCTTATATACCTCAAATAGAAAAAGCAGCTAGAAACATATGCAGGTCCCTTCTAGGTTATTAAAAGTGGTTTATTATTCAAAGAAGAATAAAGGCCGTCTGAAGTTATATTTGTGTAGATGAGACCATGCAAGCAGGTCGGAGAAATGGGATGCTTTTAACTAAGCCTCCCTCCTCCCCAGTTTAAGTTTTATTTAAACGGCTGCCAGAGGAGGGTGTCTGCTTATGGACAGCCCCTTCCAGCAGCAGTGGCCGGGACACACATGGATTGCAGAGGAATTTGCCCCTGGGAGCCCCTTTCTGTGCTGGATGGTGCCCAAGCGGCTCCAAACCCTTTCTTTCCAAAGCTCCGCAGCCACGCGAGGGCAGAGCCCGCCCGGAGCCTGAAGGGCTGGATCTGGCTCGCGAGAGATGAGACAATGGATGATTTTCCCAGAAATCCGATCCAGGAGTAACGCCACATGTATGCAGGCTCCGCTGTTCTTACCCGAAAAACCCTCTTCCCCTTCCTGTGGGCAGCTCTTTGTGCTGGGAGCAGCAATTTGGGAAGCGCTTCTTCCAGCTTTGCTCAGGTTTTTACTCAGCCCCCGTCCCACGACTTCAGAAAGAGGTGGGATTGTTTTTCCTGCTTGTTTTCCAACCGCAGCATTTGGGGAGCCTTAGAAAAAAACCCCAAGCCTTGGGTGCAGTGCCAGGCTTGGTGCCACACCACAGGAGAGCATGTTCAGCATTCGGGGGGGAGACTTTGCCTTGTTTGACTGTTCCCTCTATTGTTCAGAGCACAATAACTCACCGACACCCTGCAGACAAGGACAAAGGCTGTCTCAGCCCTCACCGATGCTTAAATCTCCAAGGAACACAGAGCCACAAAGATTTTAAACAAGCCCAAAGGCACCGCAGGCAGCGCCCACCCGGGTTTGGCAGGGGGAGGACACACAAAAAGGGATTTCAGCCCTCTCAGCCCCTTCTGCCTCACGTGCACGGCAGATTTTAGAGTAAAAAAAAGATGTGGGCAACAGCCTGCGTCTCTCTCGTGGAAAGATGTCAGCCTTAAAGTATTTCCCAGAACTCATTTCAGCATTTTGCAAGGACCACTGATTTCAAAACTGTGTTTTAAAGGAGTTTGAATTTCAGCAGAGTCAGCCCTTTGACATGGATGTGGAGGGAAGGAGCCACGTCCTGTACAACACTGAGTAAATTGGGACTGTGTATTTGGCCTTATCACAGATTATCATCATCCAAAGTAGTGTTTTCATGCCTGAATCCATACCCTGCTCACACTTACTTTCCTGTACATGAGGCTCACTTGATTTTCATGCCCATCCAATAACAAGTACATGTCTATACACAAACACACATATATACCAACATCAAATATACATTAACAGACAAGCAGAATCAAAGTGGAAATGAATGTTTTGCTGACATTTTTATTTGTAGGCAAATTCACATCCTAAAAGCTAAAGAGCTTCCAGATTTAAATCTTTCATTAAGTTCAGAAGGTTTGGATTAGGGAGCAATGCTAAAAATAGATTATGCTTTTTAAAAAGTAATAAGTAGTGCTGTATCACTTAACTGCTGGAATCAGGAGGAACAGCCTGGGGAAGAGTCAGAGAATCAAGATACAAGAAATGCATAATCATCCTTTGTAAACTTGGCCCAAACCATACCTACATTTAGGGTATGAATATCCAAAATGGGCCTTGAAAAGTTTCAGCTGCTCCAGCGAAGTTTATTCTTCAGCTACACTTACTATAATTTACCTTGGCTTTTTATCAAGGATGACATTTGCAGCAGGCTATTCCAAGACACTGATGTCCCAGGAGGAGTAGAAATAAAACCTGTAATTTTGCTGCAACTTGAGACGTCCTGTCCCAGCACCAGAGAGAGGGAAGAGACTCAGGAAGAGACTCAAATCTTCCCTGCACCAGCAAGGGCAGGAATTCCACTGGTATCCACACACACAGTTTATCCACTGTCTGAACAATTTCCACTCCACCTGAGATAGGTGCTCTGCCTGCTTTTGTTCATTAATATCAGAATGTTTCCTGGGTGAGAGTGTGACAGGAACAGTGAATAACCACTGATGTCAAGGCTCATCACATCCCCTCTGAAACAAGAACAGTTGCCCTACAGACAAGTTCTCAAGTGCAACCAATAATTCCCTGCTCTGATTTATTTAGAGGCTTTCCTGGGATACTCTTAAAAGTCATTTCCACGTCTGTCATTGCACTGTCTGAAAATGGGATCCTTCTGAGAAGGAGCTTTTGGCCCTGTAGTCCTCTGAATGACACACTGAAAAGCCAGGACACCTCAGGGCATCCAACAGTCCCATGTTAGAGCTGGTCTCAGCTAGACCTTCAGGCTGAACTCATTTAAGGTACTCATTTAAGTACCTCATTT